ACCTGGCTAATTTTTTTCTTTCTTTTTGTAGAGATGGGGTCTCTCACTATGTTGTCCAGGCTGGTATCCAACGTCTGAGCTCAAGCAAATCCACTTTCCTCAGCTTCACAAAGTGTTACGATTACAGCATGAGCCACCATGCTGGCAGTATTAAATTTATAATAGCAAGGGAAACAACAGAAAATAAGTTCCTATATATATACCTACTATGTACCCACAAAAATTACCAAAAAAAATTTCATTTAAAAATGATTTTAAAAATTTAAGCCCAACCTACCTCCTAACATGGCACCTATAGTTCCAGATCTGCAATCAGAGAATAATGCTAAAACCCACTTTCCCACAGGCACCTCTTACACAAACAGTAGTTGAGATCAGGTTCCAAGACGTCCTCCAGCTTGAGCAGGCGCTCTCATGTAACTTGGGTTCCAGAGCAGTCCTACCCACTTACCCACTTGCATGTGTCAGAGAATAAAATTCCAGTGGCATCGCCAGAGGGAAGGAGCAGTGTCACTGAGCTGGGTGTTAGTATCTCCTGCTAATTAATGAATGAATCCCGATGAGGACATCCCTCCCCACTGTATGTGTATGTGGAGTGGGGTACACACACATAAAAGGGAGACAGAGTTGGATGACTCACTCCCCAAGCTGGTTTTCTTATCTATAAAAGGGGAGAAAACAGTATCTTGCTACGAGAATCAATTGCACGTAAGGAAAACGAACACATTAATAAGCACAAACTCCTACACTGGGGGTTATAACTCACAAGACCCTAATTCAGTCAGAGAGTGGGTCAGCATTGCCGCACCGAGCCAGACGTGTTGCGTTCGAATCCCAGCTTTGCTGACTTTACGTGGCGGTGCGACTTGGAGAAATGGCTGCCTGAACATGCGTTTTGGTGCTGGTGGTTTTCTCACTGGTAAAACAAAAGGTAATGAAACATCAATCTTGGCATGCATCTTTATAGCATGAAATGTACCGCCTAGCACTCAATAAATGCTCGCTGTTATGGTATAATCGTCCCCACTCTTTTTCAAACTCCTCAGAAGGAGATACAGGACTGCACTGAAAGGAGGTGATTCACTGAAAAGTGATGTGGGACATCACAACCCAAACTTTGGTCTATCTGTTCCTGGAGGTGAGTTCGCCCCCAATATCCTCCACTCCCTCTAGCAATGGCTATCGTGCTAGGCACTGCTGCTCATAGCTTTGTGGCACCAACTCATTCTGCCTCATAGTCTCAATGCAGGTGATGCTAGTGTGCCCATTTAAAGCTGAGGAAATAGAGTGCAGACAGGTTGAGTAACCTGCCCTAGGGTCACACCACAGGCAGTGACGGAGTCAGAGACCCAAACTGAGTCTGCCTGCCTCTATAAAGTTGTCTGTTCTTGTTAGTTGAAACAATGTCATCTCTGTCATTTTGCACAGCTGCGCTACTGTAGGGCTCGACTACCAGCTCGGCGGCAGACAGGAGGAAGCAGAGCCCTATCTTGCTGCACGACACGCAGCTGCTGTGTCGGTCAGGAGGGGAGGAGGACGTGACCTGCTGCTCTCTCGCCACACCCTCTGCACTCTGCACACTGCTCCCTCCTCTTCCAGCAGCCGAAAGGGTCACTGGGGACCCCAGCTGACAACTGAAGTCCCCTCAGGACACTCATGGCATCTGGTACCCCTGCGATGGCTGGGCGGGTTCTCAGGGACTTCTGACCATGAAATGTTCACAGCGATCTACAGAGACAGCCACTTGGCCGTGGGCTGATGCGTAATACGTTATGTGAGGCTAGCAGTGCATCCGTCCCATTATCGCCGGCTTTTAAGCTTATCTCCAGAGGCCAGCCTGGCTGCAAATGGTTTTTCTTTCTCCTGTCTAGGGGGCCACAGCCGCTGTTGCCCCCATACGGGAGAGATTTTATCTTAATTGACACTGGCTGCCGTGCCACACCTTTGCT